CAGAAATCATTCTAATATGCTGATTTATTATCAATGTTAGAAACAATATGTTTTCATGGAACCAGTGATACTTTTTTCAGGATTTTTGATGGATAAAAAGTTAAAAAGCATTTACTCAAAATAGAAAAGACTTACATTGTTAGAAAAGATTTCTATCACTTTTTATTAATCCAACACATTCTTGCTGAATAAAAAAGTATTAATAAAAAATAAAAGAATAAAACAAAAAACATACTGACCCCAAACTTTTGAATGGTAGTGTAAAAAAATACCACTGGTTCCACAAAAATATTTAAAAAATATACAAAAATATTAAGCAGTACAACTGTATATATACTTCATATTACACTGTTACACATATTACACATATTGTACTGACAGCATTGTTGACTGTCCACACTGTTGTAGATTTACTTTGATCACCATATTAAGTTTGTTCAGTCAAACAGCTGATGAATAGTTAACTGCCAGTGGTTGGTTTTAAGTGTTCATTTAACATAGTGGCTTTTAATAACAGCTGTATAGAACACCTTCACATTTAAAAACTACTGGTGCTTTAAATAATTGACAAAAAAGGTTTTGTGTTAGTTCCCAAAACACATTAGTTATGTCTGATATGCAGCTTATTTCTCTGGGACTCTGGGTATTTCTAATTTATCTTTTGATGTTTCTTTCATTTCAGCAGAACACAATGATTTCTCAATTACTGGATGTTCTGAAACAGAGAAAGAGTCTATGACTGGATCTGACGGAGAGGAAGCGTGGCATGCTGACTTTAATCAGAAGACAGGAGTAGTTACATTGCCTGATTTTGCAGATCCTATGAGCTTTCCAGGATTTTATGAAGTGAGCCTGGCAGACCAAGAAGTATGCAAACAAAACCTGGCTGTACTCATTAAAGCTTACAAGAGCCCACCAGAGGAAATGGGTATGGCATGAACTTGCACTGTTAAGCTTTTTTAAAGTTTTACAGTAATACATTTCTTAGCATTTACATCAATCTGTTTGGTAACTGCTACATGTTATGCATTCAGTGTTATCAATATGTTGGTTAAGTACGAGTTTTGGCTTGCAATTGTATTTAATATGTATGATATTAGTTTTCCTATGTACAGATTTTATTTGTTGAGGTCAGATGTACTACTGACTGCAGAGTTCAACACAGTTATGTGTGTTCACAGAACCCCCTGAGACGTCCATCTATCCAAGGAACGATGTGCAGCTGTTCACAGACCCTCCTGAGACGTCCATCTATCCAAGGAACGATGTGCAGCTGGCTGTTGAAAACACGCTCATCTGTCACGTGACAGGCTTCTTTCCTCCACCTGTCAATGTCTCATGGACTAAGAACAATGTCGTTGTGACGGAAGGCGTGAGTCTGAGTCAGTACCGACCGAGGAGCGATGGTACCTTCCACGTGTTCTCCTCTCTGAAGATCACTCCTGAAGAGAGAGACATTTAC